AAGTATCAACTACGCTGAGTAATACTCTTCTTAATTTTCATTGACCAAAATTATGTGATATGAGTTTACTATTAAATGACAGCAATATGTAGAGTGTAATTAATACTTCTTTATATTCAAATACCCCTTTTTTTATTGGCTCATATTCAAACACCCTTATTCCTTCAATTATAAAAATACAACCATTTATTATTCCAGTTGAATATGGCTTTTTAGGCCATTTATAAAAGCACTTGCAGTCTCGGCTGCTTTAGACAAAGATGCGGTAAAATCAACGTGATGCAATTACTGACCCCTTCCTCCCAATTTCCCATGGTCAAAAAAGAAAGAAAGAAAGAAAAAAAACGTTTTACACAAGTACAATGCATAGGCCTATTCACAACAAAAAGTAAAATGTCTACCAAACACAATCAAGTAAAAGTGAATGGCAACAAAACAATGGGCTACGCCAGTTTAGGCTGTTGTCTCACGTGCCGGCCGTCGGTCGTTATCAAACTCCGACAACTTACCGGAAAGCAGCCAGCCGCGTTGCTTGTGTGACGCGTAGACTCCTTTTTCACCTCCTGTGCTCTGCTGACATGGCGTCACCTAACTCCACATGCATGCCTCATTTCCTGCCCCAGTCTACGTGTTGTGGTCCCCAACCTTGTCCCCTCCCGCCCCCTACATTTCCCTGACAAAAGAATTAAAATCGTTCAACACCCGGCAATGGTTTTGCCCCCGTAGCTTTTATTAAGATTATACAGAAAAATTTTGTTAAATTTTTATTTTAATTTAATAATTAAAAATAATTAATAAAATAATAAATTACACTGAGCTCTTCGAGCCAAGTGACAATAGTCACTCATGGTGCATTTTCCCTTTCCCAGGGCTGGGGTTCGAATCCAACCTCTTGTAAAATCTGTTCAAAAAAAATAAAATAATAAATTAAAATTAAAGTATAAATAAATATTATATTTTTTATCTTAATTATTAAAAATAATTAATAAAATAATAAATTACACT